TGTTTCTGGTCAAGTCAAGTTGGCTTGGCGCTGATTTCGCTCCAATAAGGCGAGTGGGGCATTAAGTTGCCGTTTCATCATTGTCAACAGTCGCAGTCGCAAACAATAAATATTGTAAACAATTTGTTGTGTGCGCCTGATGCCTGATGCTTAATGCCTCTGTATGTGTGTGTGTGTAGAAATGCCAGTGCAAATATTTGAACACGCCCAAAGAGGAAATAAGGTTCGAATGCGAAATCCGCAAACCCTTCGAGCCCATAAATTATCATCATCAGCAAATGGCTGTGGCTGTGGCTGCGTCTCTTCTCGCTGCGTTTACAATTTCCAATTGCCGCATTCCCAAATCCCCCTGCCAGTTTCCATTCCCCAGTGGCGTACACGTGGCCAATGTGGCATTAATTAAATCAAGCATCATTAAGCGGCTGTGGCACCAGTTACTGTGTGGGCGTGGCGCCTGTCTCAGGTTGCATTCGGATTTGCCATAGAGCGGCACAGTGTGCACACATCTTGCTTAGGTACTAAAATTGGCAAGCAATTTATCGATGTTTGCATTTTCAATGAATATCGCTTATCGATACTTGTCTTTCTATTTTGCTGCTTCTCTAAGCGCTCTTTGCGCCTGCTATCTCGCTCGCACGCACGATCGCGGCGAAGCGCATTTCGCTCGCTGCCTTTTATCTTCGTTCTTTCTTGCGTTTTTTTTTCTGCTCTTCCTTCTAGTACGGTCTTAGCGCGCATTGTGTGTGAGTGGCGGGAATAAGTCGCAATATCGAGTGTCTGACGTGAAAAAGTGCAACAATTTATTATCTTAGATTTATATTCGCAACCACAGTGCATTCGGGTAATTGAAAAACCTCCCCCAACACCAATTGCTACGTAAAATCTCATTTGGTGGAGTGCAATTTTATTTGTATTGCCTGTTGTTTTACCTAACTGGCCATTAAAGTGTGTGTTAAATGGCCAATTGGACTTTTAAAGCAAAGATGCCATAACTTCTCATCAAGTCTTAGACTGCGGAGAGACGCAAGTAAGTAATATGTGAATTTAGAATGTAATTTCCAATCAAAAAATGGCTTTATGCTGACACAAAATAATTTAATAGAGACATACATATGTACATACGTACATACATACATATGCATGGCCTTGGGACTGCTTAAAAATGCCCAAGCAGCAGGCATGGAAATTTCGGGACTTTTTTTTTCGGGACATTTACTTTAGCACATATATAAATTAAATGGCAAGAGAAAAATTTTATTACATTCTTCTATTATGTGCTTTATATGCAAGTGCATTTTTCTTTAGCCAAAATGCATTGTCTTTGCTCTACGCCTGGCAGCTGGCCAAGTCCAGTAGCAGCAAAAGGCTAAGTGTGGCAAAGGGGCAGGGGGCAATGGGCAGGGGGCAAGGGGTAGGGGGCGCCAAGTGAAAAGATGGCGGAGAAGCGCCAGATGCGCTTGTTGGTTTAAACAACAGAAAATGCACTTCGAAGAGGCTTTTTGTGAGTGGATGGTGCCCACACACTCTCCAACCAACTAGGGGACACACACATACACACACACACACACACAGTCTGGCGCTGTGAGTGCCCTTTTCTTTGGCTTAAATGGGCTTAACGTACACAATGTCTATTTATTGCGCCGCTTGTTGAGGCCATTTTTCACTAGCGAGGATTTAGCCACGCTCGAGCGCTTGAAATTTCATTTGCTAAATGTAATTCGATTTAAGTTTAAGGCATTCACCATGCCACATTCGCCATTTGCTTTTAGCCATTTGCTTTTTGCCGTTTGCCATTGTGAATGGCAATGAATTTTTTATAGCTGCCCCCACAATTTTTTTTTTTAAGCACTTAGCTCATTGTGAAAAGGGGAAATTCAGTGGACAATATATAAAATTCATTCTATTTTTTTAGCATTAATAAACATTGTCTTAAGTGCATGTTTTTTCTCTCTTGCAAATGCATTTATAATCTAATAATATTTTTCAACATTAAATTGGGCTTGAAAAGCGCCTTAAAGCTGAATTGTATTACAACTAAAAACTTAAACCTCGATTAAGTTGATTGCAATTGTATGCAGTTTTTTTTGTTGGTTTTGCTTTGATATCAATCTACTTTTGCCACTTCTAACTGATGGAAAATTTATTTGATTATTTTGTGCAATTTTCAAGCTTTTAGCTCCTCGTTTTGCTTATGACCAAAATATTCGTTTGCTAGCGCGTTGCGCTATGCAATTTTTTTTGATTTTTCTGCTCTCAATTAAATTAAAAATTAAATTAAAAATTTGAAAATGGGTTTTTTTTTTGGCCAAAAAGCGCAGCACTTGGTTCAAGCACGGAGCATCAAATTGTTTTGCATATTGCTTTGTGGCGCCGCACAAATATGGAAATTGCACTTGTCCTTGTATCTGTGTGAAATCAAATTTGCCGAGGGGGCTGAGGGTAGGGTGAGGGTAGGGTAGGGGATTGTCGGCATTGTGTGTGTAGCCGAAAAATGTTGCGCCAGCGCGTTCGTATACAACAATCGGCTAACAATCAACAACAACAACAACAACATAACTTGGCTAAAAGCAATAAACTGGTCCAGTTGGCCAAGTGGTTGGCATTGCCAGTGTTGCGGTTCCCGCTGCCCCATGGCCGCCCACGACCATGCCACGCCCCCCCAGCATGTCGGTCGAAAAGTGGAGCTTTGCCAACTCAGCAGGCATTTAGTTTTGTGTAAAATGCAATTTGCTGCTTTTGCATAAAAACCCCATAGTTGTTGTTGCTGTTGCTGCCTCTCATACTCTATAAAGTACTTATTATTAAGGGGTATATGAATTTTGTCCGAAAGCGAGCAAAAGCTCGAAAAAGTACTCTGCAAATTATCATTAGCTTGCGCACAAAAGGGGGATACGTAAATTGTTTCAAATTAGTTGCGGATTTTAAAACTCAGGCTGGGTTTAAGCTATGCAGAGGAAGTTTTGCACACAGCCTGGTATGCTGTTAAATAATTTATTCTTTCTATATATAGTATTATATGCAGCATTTTTTTATAGATTACTATAGCAGAAGCAAATATTGGTGTTGATAAGCAGGCTGTCCCCTTAAATATCCTATATAGACATTGGTCTAAATTTCCCACCCCCATATCTCGGTCAAATCTCATCCGATTTTCAAGAGGTTTGGCTCTTTGTTCACGGCTTGGCCTCTAAATCAATCGTGCATCTAAATCTGGCAACATTATTTTTGGTCGAAATTCATGTGAAAATGGTACCCTCAAATATACTATGTAGACATAGGTCTAAATTTCCCACCCCCATAACTCGGTCAAATCTCATCCGATTTTCACGAGGTTTGGGTCTTTGTTCACGGTTTGGCCTCTAAATCAATCGTGCATCGAAATCTGGCAACATTATTTTTGGTCGAAATTCATTTGAAAATGGTTCTTTCAAATATGCTATGTAGACATAGGTCTAAATTTCCCACCCCCATAACTCGGTCAAATCTCATCCGATTTTCACGAGGTTTGGCTCTTTGTTCACGGTTTGGCCTCTAAATCAATCGTGCATCTAAATCTGACAACATTATTTTTGGTCGAAATTCATGTGAAAATGGTACCCTCAAATATCCTATGTAGACATAGGTCTAAATATCCCACCCCCATAACTCGGTCAAATCTCATCCGATTTTCACTAGGTTTGGCTCTTTGTTCACGGTTTGGCCTCTAAATCAATCGTGCATCTAAATCTGGCAACATTATTTTTGGTCGAAATTCATGTGAAAATGGTACCCTCAAATATCCTATGTAGACATAGGTCTAAATTTCCCACCCCCATAACTCGGTCAAATCTCATCCGATTTTCACGAGGTTTGGCTCTTTGTTCACGGTTTGGCCTCTAAATCAATCGTGCATCTAAATCTGGCAACATTATTTTTGGTCGAAATTCATGTAAAAATGGTACCCTCAAATATCCTATGTAGACATAGGTCTAAATTTCCCACCCCCATAACTCGGTCAAATCTCATCCGATTTTCACGAGGTTTGGCTCTTTGTTCACGGTTTGGCCTCTAAATCAATCGTGCATCTAAATCTGGCAACATTATTTTTGGTCGAAATTCATGTAAAAATGGTACCCTCAAATATCCTATGTAGACATAGGTCTAAATTTCCCACCCCCATAACTCGGTCAAATCTCATCCGATTTTCACGAGGTTTGGCTCTTTGTTCACGGTTTGGCCTCTAAATCAATCGTGCATCTAAATCTGGCAACATTATTTTTGGTCGAAATTCATGTGAAAATGGTTCCCTCAAATATCCTATGTAGACATAGGTCTAAATTTCCCACCCCCATAACTCGGTCAAATCTCATCCGATTTTCACGAGGTTTGGCTCTTTGTTCACGGTTTGGCCTCTAAATCAATCGTGCATCTAAATCTGGCAACATTATTTTTGGTCGAAATTCATGTGAAAATGTCGAAATTCATGTAAAAATTGTATATGTAAATGAAGGCTGGGATAGTGTTACACACACTTAATAACATACATATTGAGTTAGCATTGTTTTATGTGCTGAACTTAAAATTAGTGCTATGTTTAGGGCTGAAGTGGAAGTGTAGACTGGTATGGTGTTACAGGCTCTCAAGTGTATGCTATGCAAAAGTAAAGCGAAATTGAAATTTGAAAATATAATGATGGCAGCCATGTTGAGCTCTGTTCAACAGTTTTACAAAGGAATTTGCAAATTGTTTTAAATTAGTTCAAGTTTCAAAGCTCAGGTTGGATTGCACAATTGCTGCTTAAAACCTCGCATGCAGTCTAGTATGGTGTTAAGTATAGCAAAACTTTTGCTATGCATTTCAGTGGAAGTGAAACAAAAGTGAAACCGGAAACATGACTTTCTATGCTAACGCTCTTTTGTTGACTATATTTGCAAAAGGATTATGGCTTAAAGTATTTTGGCTTGCAAAAGGCACACACACACACATACGCACACATACACGCACACACACACACACACACTGAATACCCACCTTAATTTACGTAAATGGCTTCACTTGCTGCTCGGCATCCAATAAACTTAAATCGTTGAATGTTGAACAATTTTCCAGCACTTGGCTGCTGGTTGCATTAATTAAATCAAAATCAATGGCCAAACGTTGCTCAGACTTGGACATCCACTCGGCGCCGGACTCCGGCGACTCCTCTGGGCCGTCAACTTTGCTGCAATTCTGTTGGCAATCAAGTGCATAGCACAGCTCCAACTGCTGCTCCTGGTCCGAGTCTCGCTCCACTTGCCCCTCCGCCTGTGTCATGGCTGGCTGATTAGTGTGACCAGCTTGATGGGCGCCAGCCAGGAGCAGCATCTGCTCTTCGTAGCCGTAGCCATAGTCGTATTCATCGTACTCATCCATCAGTGAATGCTCCGAGTAGCTCTCGTCATCATCATCGGCGCAATCAAAGTACCCGCTCTGTGGATTGTAATACTTGTTTAGTTTGTGGGTGGAGGGTGGTGGTGGGGTCGGGTTACCCCCTCTCTAAAACGCCTTCTCATCTCTGGAAATACGCACCTGGCAGTCCAAGCAACGGCAATTATCACAGAGGCTGCAGCTCAGTCCTAGTATATCCGCCGCCTCCTGGTACAGCTCATAGCTGGAGGACCTGTTGGCTTGTTGTTTATAACTCTCCAGCTTCCGTTCGCCCTCTCCGCGTTCCTGTTGTTGCGTGTAGTTGGCCAACTTGTTGTTGTTGTCATTATGCATGCTCCAATTGTTCAATTTATTTTGCTGCTGCTCTGCTCCAGCTCCAGCTCCATCTCCGGCTCCTGATCCCACTTCCACGCCTGCTGCCTCTTGACTGTTGTTGTTGCTGTTGTGATTTTTCATGTTGCTGTTGTTATCCTTGCCGGCTGAGTGAGCTGCAAATGATGATGCGGCCGCTGAAGTGGACGTGGACGCTGCGTAGGGATCCGCCCCATTGCTGTTGGCCCTGAAATGAAAAGTTTACTCGTCCTGTATTTAGCTTTTGGTTGACTAAACTAAACGTCCAAAGCACAAATGAACAGGAACCCGGCAACACAGGAAGCGTATCCACTAAGGGGGCGGGGCAATAGTGGGCCCGGATATGGGTGAGGACGCGGATGCGTACGAGAGGTATGCAAATTGAAATAAAACGTAGCACATTATTCAGCGCGCTTTAATTTAAGCCTAAGCTGTAGTCGCTTTTAAAGAACTTAAAGCGGGGCAAAATTGGACTATTCTATTAAATTTCGACAACTATATTATACGAGAAGTGTACATAGAATCAGTTAATATTATCTGCGGCAAAGTAATTAGGGCGCTCAGATATTAGAAGCTGAAGAAGTTAGAATTGTCCAGAAATGATTAGAGGCATCTTTAATGCATAAGTTTTATGTTAAAGATATATTAAGACATGCGACGAATGTTTGAAAAAAGCATGATCTCCGCCTAAAGAACTTAATAGTCATTATTTAGTATATTTATCGGAAAAAGAAAGAGTTCCTATTTGTGACAGACCACAAAAATACCGCACTCCGATCAGACAAAGTATTTTGTATTTTTGTTCAGTGTGCACAGAGCTGCCATATAATATGATGTCTACATTTTAGGTCTGCCATCTATTGTGATGTATACATTTCAGGGTTGCCATCTAAGGTGATGTATACATTTCAGGGTTGCCATCTATTGTGATGTATACATTTAGGGTTGCCATCTAATCTGATGTATACATTGCAGGGTTGCCATCTAAGGTGATGTATACATATAAGGGCTGCCATCTAATGTGATGTATATATTTTAGGGCTGCCATCTAATGTGATGTATACATTTCAGGGCTGCTATCTAATGTGATGTATACATTTCAGGGCTGCCATCTAATGTGCTGTATATATTTGCCACACTGTCGGCGGCTGTTAAATTATGCGTGTTGCAACTGAAAGTTCCTGACAGATCCTTGCACCTGGGCCATTTGGTTGGCACCAGCTGCAGTGCAGGCCATTAAAAAAAAAGAGTCGCCTGTCCTTGCGCTGAGAGCTGCTTATCAGTTCATGGCAGGGGGGGGGGGGGGGGGTGGTTGTTGGTAAAGGGGTTGCGACGCAAAAATGCAAAATAGTTGCAAACTGAAGGACAAACTTTTTTTTTTGAAATTCAAAGAAAATGTTTGGCAAAGTTATCTTGGCACACTTGAAGCAACTTGATGGAGTTGTCGCCAAGTGACGCCGTGACCTCCCCCCGCCCCTCCCCCCCTCACTTACCCCAGGCCTGATAAATGCGCGCAGCGAATTCTCTTGTATTCAACTGTAAAAAATGGAGCAAAGGAAAAGGCCGAGTGCATTTCCCTGCAGACGGCTCGTTCTAATTAAAGTCGCTAATAAATCAAAGGAACTTTGGTGCTTCAAGGGTCTCCGCGACCATGCACCCCGCCTCCCCCTCCCCCCGTTACACGGCGCTCGGTTGCAACTAATGAAATATTCAACAAAATTTCATCAAATATTCAAAAAGGTTGCCGCTGGCAAAATGCAACTTTGGCGTTAACGTTTATATTTGTGCGGCCACGCCCGCAAATTCCCGGCAGCTCGTTAGCTATTGAAATATGATTATTGCACTTCAATATTGTGTGCAGGCAGCCAAACTGCTGCTGCTGCTGCTGTTGCAACTTGCAAGCTGCAACATGTGTGCGGCATGCATTTTAATCAACTTTATGATGCCAGGCAGGCAGCCATTCAGGCGCCTTACCCCACCTTTCCAACCCCTACTGAAGGGTATGGACCCCTATTGGCACGTTAAGCGCTTCACCGACTTTCTGTTAGCGCGTTAATTTTTCAATTTCGCAAATGGCTGAGCCAACTAAACGACTCTGCCCTGTACAGCTTACTCCCCCCCTCCCTCCCATACACCCTTTACAACTCGCCACGCCTCCATGTGCCCCCCCTCGTCGTACAGAAAGTTAGTCCGTGCTAAGCGCTGATGATCAAAACTTATGACTTCATGAACAATGCAACAAAACTGGCACTGGCTAAACAAGGGGGATGAGTCGGGCCCGGGCCGGGGCGGGGCGGGAAGTAGTCAGTGCCACATCGTGGACAGCTAATTGAATGCGTTTAAACAGCCGCTGGGCAATGTGGCAGCCAGCACAGAAAACAAGTTAGCGCCAAGTTGAACTCATTTTGCGGCGTGACTGTCATAAAGATGAGCCCTTCCCGCTCCCCGGGGCACAGAACGTGTTGATGACTTTGGCTACTCATTTCGCCAACCTCTCATTTCGATAATTTCCCATTTCGATAAACGCTCATTTAGATAATCTCTTATTTCGATAGTCTCCCATTTCGATAATGTCTCATTTCGATAATCGCTCATTTCGGTAATCTCCCATTTCGATAGTCTCTCATTTCGATAGTCTCCCATTTCGATAATCTCTCATTTCCATAATCTCCCATTTCGATATTCTCTCATTTTGATAATCTCTCATTTCGATAATCTCTCATTTCGATAATCTCCCATTTCGACAATCTCTCAATGCGATAATCTCCCATTGCGATACTTCCCTTTCAACTACTTGTATTCACAGACTCTCATTTGGACTAAATCGTTTTCTTTCGATTGATGCAATCGTTCGAGCTAGTCAATACCGTCTCCAATAAGATTTTTATTTAGCCTTCGCTTTGGCCAAGTCTCATATCTGCGTGGCCAACTTAATGACAAAGTTGTTGTCATGCCAGCGCATACTTTGTTGGCTTCAGCCGGAGTTGGGCGGCGGAAAGCAACTCGCCAAATTCCGTTGGTCCAATAAACTTGTGCCCCCCATAAAAAAAAAAGTTGCCCACAATTTTAGCACCGCAATATGCCTTATAACATTTATGAGAATTTATAAGTTTTGCCACAGACTAGTGCAGGAGAGGAGAGGAGAGTGCTGTGGATGGGTGAAGCTGTGGCAAGTACCTACCTGCTGGGCTGCTGTGTGGCACCGCAGGCTTCCGCCTCATCCGGTGTCAGCTGCTGCTGCTGGTTGCTGCGCCATTTCTCTTCTTCGAGAAATTTCAAAAACTTTGTCTTCTTGGCAATAAGCGTTGATTTGACATTGGTGCATTTCTTCCTGTTGGCCACGGCGCCAAGCAGCGGAAGTGCACCTGCTGCTACCCCAGCCCCAACTGCCGATGCTGTTGCCACACCGTTTCCACTTCCACTCCCATTTCCACTTCCACTCCCGTTTCCATTTCCATTTGCGGCAGTTTCGTGCGCAACGCAGCGGCATCTATGCGAGGCTGTTGCTGACAGGCAGCTATTGTTATGGCTCCCGACTGGGCAATTGTTGTTGCTGCTATTGTTGTTGTTGTTTTTGTGGCACTGCTGCTGATTTCTGTGGCTGACATTTTGGCAGACGTCGCCAATAGATCCGCCGCCGACTGTGACGTTGCAATTGAACAATTTCTGCAGCGCTGCCGTTGCCGGTGAACACATTGCGGTTGACATTGATGTAGCGACCGGATTTGTTGTTGCTGCTGCTGCTGCTGGGTTTGTTATTGTTGATGTGGTTGTTGGTGCTGCAGCTGCTGCTGCTGTTGCTGCTGCTGACGAGTTGCCGTTGGCTGTGCCAAAAGTTTTGAATTTATGCTGCAAACTGCAGGCGGCACTTGAACAACTTGCCCCAATTGAATTGCTTGTTGTCCTCCTGCCATTCATTTCACGCCCTGTTGCTGCCAACGCATGTGCGCCGAACTCCTGCAAACAAAATCGACACTTGACTAACAACAATTTGACCCTAAAGATTTGATGAAAAACTTACGCCATATGTTGGATTGTAGCCGGCGTTGAGCACGTAAATGGAGTTCTGATTGCTGCATTGATAAACCATATTGTCCATTGTTTGAGCTGTTTTGCGAAATAAATTACAAAATTAAGGGAATTAATTGGCATGACAGTGAATAAACAAATATTTGTTGTATTCCAATTTAACGGTTTAGTAATTCCAGGAAAATAACAAAATGCGCTCTAAATGTGAAATAAACTAAACGCAAAAACTCTGGAGCAAAAATCTTTGTGTTTATCAACTGAAAACAACTGAAACCTCTGGGAAATCTTGTGTTTGTTCTCCTCGAACTCATTTTATAGTCAATAATTTTAAAAGCGTTGAAATTGTTTCTTAATGTGTTCTTTTAATCTTTAAACTAGTTTTTTTTTGTCATACAAAAGTGTTGAAATGGCTTTTCAATTCCCTCATAAATCGACATCTATCTAAAATATGCTCCGTAAATATTCTTTCTATATATCAATTAAATAGAAAAACTTAATAAAGCATATTATTTTAAATAAACCAAAGAAAAACTGTACGACAAATGTTTCCTGTGAGAAACACAATATCTTTTTGCGTTTCCAAAAACTCTTCAAAAACTCCAAACGTAGATTTTTTCTTCAGAATGGGCCATCAATCTAAAATGTGCTCTCAAAATCTTCCCTCTATATATATTTATTCAACAGAAAAACTTCATAAAGCATATTATTTTAAAAAAGTCAAAGAAAAACTATAAAAAAGTGCTGACTATAAGAAACATAATATCTGTTTGTGTTCCCAAAAACACCTCAAAATCTCCAAACATAAACTTAAATATGCTTCCTAAATCTTCTCTCTATATATCAATTAAATAGAGAAACTTCCTATAAAAAACATAATATCTTTTTGCGTTCCCAAAAACACCCCAAAACCTCCAAACATAAACATAAATATGCTCCCTAAATCTTCTCTCTATATATCAATGAAATAGAGAAACTTCATAAGGCATATTACATTAAATAAGCCAAAGAAAAACTATAAGAAAATGTTTACGGTAAGAAACATAATATCTTTTTGTGTTCCCAAAAACTCTTCAAAAATCCAAACATAAATTCGCCTTTAAAATGGTCAACTTGCTTTGTCTGCTTACAAAATAGTTTCATCCTCTCGCATTTCACTTTAATCTTCACGCAATTTACAAGCTGCTTTTTTAGTTAACTTTTTCATTGAAGATTCATGTGCTTATTTAATAATTTCAAATATTGTAGCCTACTTTTGTGGGCGCCGCAAACTGAAAATACGTTTAATATGCGCGCAAATAATAAAAGTATGCAAATTTCTTTTGCCCCCAATTATACATTGATTCTGATGCCGCATGCCGCATGCCGCATGTGAACGCCTGCTGTTCGCTCATTTCAACTTTTCAAGGGGCAAGCAAAAAATAATAATAAAAATAAAAGAAAATTAATTTAAATTCTGATTGATGGAAATTCTGTTGAGGCAGCTACAGCTGCGATTTGTTGTTGTTGTTGTAGTTTTTGTTGTTGTTGTTATTTAACATTACCCGCTGAACTTTCAATAAATTTCGTCTCGTTAATTTCGGAGGAAATTCTTAAAAATCTCCACTGCTCCGCCTGCCTTTTCCCCTGATCTTTCAGCTGTTTTAGATGCTGTATGGAAAGTGTTGATTGCTCTTGAGCTGCTGATGCGGCGCGTTCTAGTTGTCGTTGTCCCGGTTGTTGTTGTTGTTGGTAATGTCCGGATGGCAGTTCGTGTTGCTGGTAATCAAAGCTGCAATTACCGCCGTACACGTCCAATTGAAGCGGAAATTTATGCGGCTGTTGTAGCGTGTAAACGCCAGCATCGACAGCGCCGGCGTCTTTCAGCTGCTTCTGCCACCTCCTGTTGTTGTTGTTGCCCCTGTTGCTGTTGCTGCTGTTGTTGTTGCTGTTGTTGTTGTGGGAGCCAAACCAGCTCGTTAGCCACAAGGATTGTAAGTCTGTAGCAAAGAGAAGTTAGAGTGTGAGCGAGAGCAGTCGTAGCATATTGAGCAAAATAAGCAAGTTTTTGTGAAAATGTTGCCTTAGATTTGTTTAATGCACACGCTGAGCATTTCGTTTCATACTTTGCTGTAGCGTCTTTTTGTTGTTGTTGTTGTTGTTCTTCTTCGTTTTCTTGTTATTTGTTGCCGCTTGAGTCCACACGCATAAGGACTTTTTGTTATTCATATTACTCGGCTGGCTTTCAACTTGTGCGTGTGTGTAACAAGTATTTCGACTTGGGTATACCCTAGCTGCTACCATGAGCTTCTAAGGAGCCTCTGAGTTCCTTGAAAACTATATCCGAGGTGCTTCTATGCGTAGGCACTAGAGAAGCTTTAACGTTCCATGAAAACATTTGCTGAAATGTGCTTTGAGTTGTCAGCTTGAATTGAGCTTAGTTTTCCAAGACTAGCTTCTGTTTTAAAAAGCTGTTTAATTTCTTATTCAACCCTGTTTTTTCTATTACTCAACACTGATCGATTTGCCGCCTATAATTATATAAATTATATAAATTAGCTCTCAGCTATATATAAACCTATCAAAATTGTTATTACAGCTTTTTCAAGCAAGCTGAAAAACTAACTTAGGGTATTAAAAGCTGTTAAATGTGGTCTTTTCACCTTTGCTCAATTATGTTACTCAACACTGTTTTTGTAATAGCATACTTTGCAGCTTAGCGGATGTTACTCAACACTGTTCTTGTAATAGTATACCTGGCAGTTTGTCTACTATTACTCAACACTGTTTTCGTAATTGCATACTTTGCAGTTAGTCTGCTGTTACTCAACACTGTTTTTGTAATAGCATACCTTGCAGCTTAGTTGATGTTAGTTAACACTGTTTTGGTAATAGCATACCTTGCAGCTTAGCTAATATTAGTTAACACTGTTTTGGTAATAGCATACTTTGCAGCTTAGCTGATGTTAGTCAACACTGTTCTTCTAATAGCACACGTTGCAGTTTGTCTGCTGTTACTCAACACTGCTTGATTGGACATTTTTATTTTAATGATAAATAATTCACATAATGGCAACATTTTGTATGTCCCTTAAATGCACTTAAGATTAAAGCAACCCTTTGATAAAGTATAATTTACTGGGCATCTGAAACCAGAAGAAGAGAAATGCGTCGGCCCCTTTGTCCGGTCGTGATACAATTTCGTTCATTGAAATGAAGAGCAGCCGGTTGCGGCTCATTCATTTCGCTTGTTACCAGCTCCATTAAAAACCGCTCCAGTATATTTTTCCCCCTTTTTTTTTGTTATTTAGGCAGAAAGTCGGCTTGAATGTTATCTCGCTTTGCTCTAACCAGGCCGAGCACTAACAATGGAAAAAAGAGCGACGAATTTGTTTTGTGGCACGCAAAATAATCAAAAATAATCCTTTTTCCACTTTTTTTTCCCCCTGTGTCTGTGTGTGTGTGAGTTTCTGTTTTGTTTGTTTTTGTTTGGGGCTTAGTTATGGATGCCATTGTTGGTTTTTTGGGTTCCATCATTTCGTTAAGCTCGCTGATTGTTTTCATGCCCAGATATGGTCCGAAATTGCTTTTAACAATTGTGCGGCGTATACGTAATATTTGTGCTTAACAGCTGACAACCATTCCACGCAAGTCAACAAATTAATGGAATACTCAACAATTGTCCTGCACGACAATTTGTATGCAAAATCATGTGCCCAAATTGCTGTTCGGCCATTCTTTCAGGCACACACACACAACGCGAGAGTTCAGTTCACATCAATTTCGTGTACACGGAATGGTTGATACGCCTCACAACTGTTTCCATTCATCAAAATGTCACAGCATTTGACCCCGGCCCCCGAATTGCCCTGTGCCCCGCTGAAGCCAACCAGCGAAATCTTTGTGATGTGCTGTCATTAATCGCAGCTAAACCTCCATAAGACATGAGGCGGGCTTCGCTTCGAACTGTGCCAAAACTAATACGTCTTAAAGGCAAACGTACGCATACATTGCTCGAAAAATGTGTAGAAACTTTTTTAACTTGTATGGCATTTACCTGGCAATAAATGTTCGTGAATTTTTATTCTGCTTGAGAAGTCTGCTAGATAGAACTACCAAGCGGAAGGTCGCTAGTTCAAATCCAGCAGCAATTTAGAGAAGTTATATTTGTTGTTACTCACAAAAAAACCCAATTAATTAAAAATAAAGAAATGAAGCTTGATAATTAGGACTAACAAGCGGAAGGTCGCTGGCTCAAATTCAGCAAATATTTGCAATAGTTATTGTTTTTTTTTTGTTTTTAAAGAGTAAACCAATAAATTAAAAATAAAATAAAAATAAAGAAATGAAGTCTAACATGTAAAAGGTCGCTGGTTCAAACCCAGCAGCAATTTTCAATAGTTACATTTTTTATATTTGTTGTTGTTCACAATAAGAAAAGCAGCCAATTCTTAGTAATGAAATGAAGTCTGCTAGATAGAACTTACAGGCGAAAGGTCGCTGGTTCAAACCCAGCAGCAATTTTCAATAGTTATAGCATAATATATTTTATTTTATGCTATTCACAAAGAATAAAAGCAATAAACTAATAATCAATAGATGAAAATGAATGAGTGTTAACAGTTATATGATGTACATTGATGTACGTTGATGTACGTCTAATGAAGAGATATCTTCTGAAGCATTTCAAAGTATTTTTTGCCATTGAGATTTTCTCGCAGTGTATGTCAGTATTACACACATCAACGAAACAGCTATTAATGGAAGGTGTCATTGTTGTCATCCGTTCTTGATATGTGTGTGTGTGTGTGTTTGGCTGTGTGGGTGGGCGTGTGTGTGTGTGTGGGTTGGTATTTGTATTTGTATTTTATTTATTTTTTATTTTGTTTGCCTGCCTGTTAAAGCTGCTCGTTGAGCATTTCTAATGAGCGGCAATAAAGCAAATGTGGCAGGTGACATACATCAAACAATTTGCACATTATAATTGTTGACACGCATCGCCTCGCATGTCGGGATGCCCAGAGAAGCCCTCTCAGCACGGCTCTCCATGATGATATGTGTCATTAGTAGTGGAGCAGGTGGGCGGTTACTCCCCCCCCCCCCCCCCTCCCCCCCATTGTCTGCCTTTTATTTTATTTTTGCTTTATTTATTTGGGGCGCGGCTGTGTGTATCCTGTGCCTGATGCTAATAATAAGACTTGTATTTATTTTGGGATTTGCGTAAAATGACCGAGCAGAAGGCAAAAAACAGGCCAAGCGAAACACAATAAGCGCTTTACGGGCTCGACTTTCTGGGTCGTGCCCCGGTCCCTCTGGCAAATCGCAGCCAGTGAAGCGTGGCATATTTGTCATAATCAGCGCTTAGGCATAAATTTGAATGAGTGTGCACACACGAACCCACACACACACACACAGACACACACACGGCAGAGTGCTATCATACATCTGCCAGTCACACACCACATATGCGCTTGTGTGTGTGTGCGTGTGTGTTGAGCTGGTTTGTGACTGTGATTTGTGACTCAAACTGTCCAGCTAACTAACGACTAGTTGTCTGAGGCTCGCAGTCAGAAGAACTAGGCCAGCAAAAGTCAATTTGCAGTTAACTGCATTAGCTTGTCGAAACGAAAACCATTTGAGAATTATAAGCGAAAATGCGCTTAGCTCGCCCAGGGACATTCCGACAAAAATTGGGCTTTTTGTATTGCAAGAACAATTGTAAAGCTTCAAGCGTGAGCTCAATTTCGATATATTCACATAATGGTCGCCTATATCAAAGTCGAGGACTCGAGCTACTGACCGTGACAGCGTTTTGTGGAGGGCATCGCGAAAGCAACGCTTTATCGCCAGCGCCGGCAGGCAAATATATTTGTCAGACAAATTTCAAAATGCCGCTGGCGAAACGGAAAATCGAATGTGGCACAGGAGACCGAGAATTCGGTGGGGCAATACGGCAAACCCTGTGGCAGTAGTATGTGGTGGCATGTGGCACAGTCATGTCGATATGTATGCTGTGGGCGGCCCATTGGCGACTGGTCATAAATTTGATGCGGGCATAAAAAATGTTTTCGATTTGCTTCGATGCTCGCATAAATTGAAAGGTCACGTATTCACAGGTGTGTCTCCAGGCAAGGGGTGCGGGAGGGGGGAGGGGGGGGGGGGCTCTCTCGTTACCCACTCCTCGAGTCGCCCAACGAATCAATAACCGACTCTCAACATATATGTTTCACTATAAATTTAGATTTTAATATTTTAATGCAGATGTTTTTTTTTTCAGTCTTACAGTTTAATTTATTGCATACAAAGGATTTGCCGGCTTCATAACAACTAAAAAACAAGTCATGAATGCTTAAAGCGAGTCGAGTGCTGGAAAATACTCAGTAAAATGGTAGGATATACTTGGCTAGCTTGAAAATTAGTTTTCTAAACAAGAACCTACTTGTACTGCCTACAGATGTTTGATATAGCAGTCAGATATTGATAAGATTTTACATATTTGTAGAAATCATAGTGGAACTTTTATACGGTCAAGCTATTTTGTAAGACATAAAAGTTGTTTAAACAATTAATTAATTCTCATTGCTATGAAAGCTATTTGATATAGAAGTCCGATGTTGCCCAGATTTTGGCTGATATAGTAGGAGTTAGGTGAGAGCTTGGTCTAGATGTTTGATAAAACTAAAAGAACCTACTATGATATAGGGGTCAGATGTAAAGATTTTACCTATATATAAGGAGCAAAATGAAACTTATGAATGCCGAATTTTGTCTATATTAATTGATTAAAAAAGGTTTTCTAAGTAAGAACCTAATTTTCGTCAATTCGTTCTTATGGCAGCTATATAATATAGAAGTCTAATGTTGATAATTTTTTGCTTATATATAAGGAGTATAGTGAGAGTTTGGTTAAGATGTTTGATAAAACAAAAGTTTTCTATGCAATCCCCTAATTTTTGTCAATTCGTTCTTATGGCAGCTATATGATATAGTAGTCAAATACTGATCAGATTTTGTCTATATATGATATGGAGATAGATATATAACTTAAGAATACCGAATTCGGTCTACATATTTTGATTAAGAAAAAGTTTTCTATGCTAGAACCTAATTTTCGACCATATTTGTGAAGATCACGATCATGTTACAGATTAAAGAATACTCAAGTAATATTTAAAAATATGTATTCCGCAATAATCAAGATATCTTTATACTTACAGCTGCCATAAGAAAAGTTGTAAACTAAAACTAAAAAAGCTCGGAAAATCAGGTTGCGATTAACTATTAAGTATACTTAGTTAAACTTAGCTTAAGCTTGGCTTACGTTTGGTATACTTTTTG